CCCTTTTCCGCTGGGGATGCAACATTTCTATTCATTTGTTTCCCAGGTCTGTCACTGCTAATGTCCGCCCTTTTCTGTTGGCCATGCAGCTTCATTTGTCTCCCAGGCCTATCACTGTCTATCACTGGTGGTGTCCGCCCTTTTCTGCTGGCCATGTAGCATTTCTATTCATTTGTCTGCCACATCTGTCACTGCTGGTGTCCGCCCCTTTCTCCTGGCCATGTAGCATTTCCATTCATTTGTCTCCCAGGTCTGTCACTGCTGGTGTCCGCCCCTTTCTGCTGGTCATGCAGCATTTCTATTCGTTTGTCTCCCAGCCTGCACTGCTTGGTCATGTAGCATTTCTGTTCATCTCCCAGGTCTGTCACTGGTGGTGTCCGCCCTTGGACGCTGGTCATGTAGCATTTCTCTATTCATTTGTCTCCCAGGTCTGTCACTGCCAGTGTCCGCCCTTTTCCACTAGCCATGCAGCATTTCTATTCATCTCCCAGGTCTGTCACTGCTGGTGTCCGCCCTTGTCCGTTGGCCATGCAGCATTTCTCTTCATTTGTCTTTCAGGCCTGTCACTGGTGGTGTCCGCCCTTTGCCGCTGGCCATGTAGCATTTCTATTCTTTTGTCTCCCAGGTCTGTCACTGGTGTGTCCTTGTCTATTGGCCATGAATCATTTTTATTCATTTGTCTCCCAGGTCCGTCCATGTAGCATTTCTCTTCATTTGTCTTTCAGGTCTGTCACTGGTGGTGTCCGCCCTTTTCCGCTGGGCATGCAGCATTTCTGTTCATTTGTTTCCCGGGTCTGTCACTGGTGCTGCCGCCCCTTTCTGCTGTTTCTATTCATTTGTCTCCCATGTCTGTCACTGCTAATTTCCGCCCTTTTCCGCTGGCCATGCAGCATTTCTATTCATTTGTCCCCCAGGCTTGTCACTGGTGGTGTCCGCCCTTTTCCGCTGTTTCTGTGCATTTGTCTCCCAGGTCTGTCACTGCTGGTGTCCGCCCTTTTCGTCGGCCATGCAGCATTTCTATTCATTAGTCTCCCAGGTCTGTCACTGTTGGCGCCCGCCCTTTTCCGCTGGCGATGCACCATTTCTATTCATTTGTTTTCCAGGTCTGTCACTGCTGGTGTCCGCCCTTTTCCGCTGGGCATGCAGCATTTCTATTCATTTGTTTCCCGGGTCTTTCACTGGTGCTGCCGCCCTTTTCCGCTGGCCATATAGCAGTTCTATTCATTTGTCTCCCATGTGATTTCTTTCTTTTTGTCTTTCAGGTTTGGTGCCTGCACTGCTGTTTTCTGCCCTGTCCGCTGCAACAGGTTCGCCTGTGAAAGGTGCTTGCTCCTTTGCAAGGGGTGCGTGACTGTCTCCAAGATTGCATTCCTGCCACACTGTGTAACTCTCTCAGCTTTGTTTTCCTTTTCGGGCAACCGTTGGATGAATGACCGGATTGGATTTCGGCCGCGTGGCAGCGATCTCTCTGTTCAGTTGGGGCGGAGGGCATACGTTCGGCACCAAAAATCAATTTCATGTCACATCCTTCGCTCCTCATGCTTTTGTTTCTTGTCCTCACGTGGTCAGCTCCCTGCTGACTGAGCAGCATGACCAGCATCATGTTCGCGCTTGAAGAATAATTCCCCAAAAGGTTTACTGTTAGGGCTTCTCACTTCTTTCTTAAGATGTGTCCGCCCGCTCTGTACTGCTGTGTCCGTCTCTGCCTTGCAATCCTTTACATTTGTCTCCCAGCTCTGGACGTCGCAAGCTCTAGTTTCGATTTTGAAAAACACAAACTGTTTGGGGTCTACGGTGGTGTAATTTATTAGCTTGCTCGAGTCCTTGGGCACTTCAAAGAGTGGGAGTGCAGGTGGTTGCAGCCATTCTCATGCAGCAGATCATCCGCGCTGTCTATTACATGCATCAAAACAATGTCGTTTGCTCAGATGAAACGATTCGAGGAGCTCGGACAGCGTCTCCATCTATAGACACACCCAAATCAGTGGAACTTTGACATCTTTGACTCGCTGGAAGTGGAATTTGAATCCCCTTATTGGGTCTCTAAAGCATGAGATTCCCAGGGCCATGCCACCCACTTTTTGCGGGAGGAACGTCGCTCGAAGCGATCCGATGTTGGACGTTGTCCAAAGGTGACACATCGAGATTTGAAGCCCGAGAACTTCCTCTTTACCAGCAAGGTGCGGGCGGGCGAGGAGGCCGAATATGGCCGAATCACGGACTTTGGAAGGTTCAGTTCAGGGCCTCCGTCAAGACAAAGGACTTGAGTCTGAACGAAGGGAATGGACACTCTGGGTTTGGGCGACACTTTCTGACTCGCGATGCAGATTGTGCGGCATGGATCACTGAGCGACTTCCTCTGTAGTGAAAACATAAAATGGAACAGGGGAATCCATGTGTGAAGAGGATATTTGGCATTGGATGGCGGCAACTATGCAAAACACCAACACCACCAAACTCTCAAGGTTGTCTCTTTTTATGTTGAAAAGACAGCTCTTCCACCATGCTTTCCCCCACTCCGCACCTCACCGGCGCCTTCCGGGAACAACCGACGGCCGTCGGAGCCGAGGGTCACACCGGCAGGAGCCGATCGAGAAGAACTTCTTGAAAATCATTGACTTCGGCCTGTCCTGCAAATACTCAGAGGGTCAAGTCTTGGCCACCAAGGCCACGTGAGTGGGGAAAGAGGTCCAGATGTCCGGGAGTGTCTGTGACGGGTTGGGAAAAGATGGCGTAGTTGGCTTGACCACAGAAATCCAAGATGCCTCGTGAAATAGCTTTTTGTGAGGATGAAAGTGGAGGATCTCAAGAGTGTTGTTGTCCCTCGTGGACAAAGCATGGATAATTGTGATTCACATCATAATATTACATTAGCTCAAAAAGCCCTACATAGCCCTACTCATATACATACATATATATATATATATAAACGTAAACTTTCAAGGTTGGAGATGTGTTTTTAAGTTTTCGTTTAGAAGCAGGCCCCCAGCAGACTATGGCATGGTGATACAGCAAGGCAGCGCTAGATTGGCGCTAGGTTTCTTCATAACAGGATAAACAAGAAGGAAAAAGAAGAAACAAGCAGAGAGCAGGAGAGAGACGAAACAGGAAAAACAAACAAGAAGAATAAGAAGAAGAATAATGTACAACAAGAAGCAGACGAGCAAGCAGGAAACATATAAATCTGACAGGATAAAGAAATCGACGGAGATTTTTGCGCTAGGCTGGCGCTAGATCCGCGCTAGAACCGCGCTGGACGACGGTCCATTTCTTGATTATCTGCCCATCCAACATCCAAATCTTAAGAGTCAGCTTCTACGTCCTTCCTATGTCGGTCTGAAGATTTCTGAGGACCAAAAATTGGAAGCAACTGCAGAAGTCTAGCAACAGCAGTAGCAGCAACAACAACAGCTCCAGCAGCTCAACAGCCCCTGAAAAGGTCCGTGCTAGACACCTCTCACAGTTTTTGCAGTTGACACGCCTTCATGTTTAACATCCCTGTGCTTTGAGTGTGGTTGGAGTTTAAAGGAGATTTAGAAGCGGGCCCCCCATGGAATTGCGAAGAGTGCACCATTTTGGGAAAATACATTTTAGACACCAACCTAATATATCCCAAGACAGTAGTACGACATGCCTCATGTCAATGTTTATATGCATGTCGCGTGCTTTTGCAAAGTAATGTTGTGTTTCCGGAAATATCCTAATTTTTCCCGAGGGCTCATCTCACATGTTTGCGGACATACCATCTTATCGTCACGCAGATCGTGATGCGCAGGGGAAGTTCAAGGGGCAAGATGGTTGCATTCGCGTCGTGTTGAGCACACTAAGATGTCTTTAAAAGAACCTGTGAGGTTTTGGAAAATTTGAGTAAACTATTGTCAGCGGTCAGGAAGATGTGCTCACGAACTCGTGTGGTTTTGGGTCTTTAATTATGGAACTGTGGCACTTCCCGCTGTCGGGCACAGTTTCGTGTGGGATTTGCAGCACTGTTGAAGTGTCCTTCAGGGCCACTCGGGTGAAGTTTTGCGATGCTTTGCTGGCCACGGGTGGGGTGGGGCGGCGTTGACGTTCCTTTGAAGTTGCAAACGCAGCTGATGCTATAATGATGTGCATGTAAAGTTGCAAACGCACTTGATGCTAGGCAGTCAAAGCCGCAGACTGTGTATCAATCTCTTTTTTGGTCGGTGGTGTTGCCAAAGAGACAAAAATTGAAGCACAGGTTTTGCGTGCGTTCTGGGGACTGGAATTACAATGCAAAGGTTGCAGGTTACCGCCGGTGACCGTCAAATCCAAGTGACTACAGGCCTCGTGGATCAAGCTTTGGGCTGATGTCATGCGGTGGGTACCGAAGCCAATCACTGCCCGAAACAAAGAAGAACAAATCAATGGTTTGGTGTGGCGCTATGTGTACCAGTCGGACTTCATGTAAAGAAGTGAATGTATATATATACATAGACAGAAGCGCTACAAAAAGTGGGCAGACGAAGGCGACGCGACCGAGAAAGGCAACAAATGTCTAAGCAATGCCATGCAATGAGTACCTCACGCATGCTGGTTTGTCATTGTTTGTTAAGATTGTATTTTGAGCATGACATCATGTCGATAGGCAGCTTAATCAGGTATTGTCCAACATGACATGTAGGGAGTTGTGTCATTTTCTGCATTCAAGCCAAAACACCCACACAAACCCGGAAACCTGTTTGTTCAGGAGTTGACTGGGTTTTGAGTGGCTTTGGCCTACCCAAATCACATCCAACCTGACTGCTCACAGAATCCCTGAGTCTGCTCATGTTTGCTTGCAGGCTGGAACACCTTACTATGTGGCACCTCAAGTGCTTCAGGGCAAATATGACCAGGTGCTGATCGTTGTCGTGATTTTTATCAAAGAGCGGCGGTCTTCTGCAACGTCATGCGTGAAGCCATGTTGAAGTGCAAAGAGAAGATGCCACTTCGTCGTGATCCCTGAAGGGAACGAAATGATGTTCAATACAATGATGATGATGTTCATATCATTAAGGGGAAAAACCTACTAAGCATCCTCAAGGTGGTCCAACCTACTAAGCCGGTGTCTGAGACTTTCATCGTTTGGACCGTATGGGAGCACTTGGCAAAGCATTGTCCAACCTTTAGAAGCGCTGCGGTCGTCAAGCTGGACCTAGCCATGTTTTTTTCCAAGTTCCGCGTTCTTTCACAGGTTTGGACATGTTTGGAGAAAAAACGATTGGAGAACACAAAGTTGTTTGACTCGCAGGGGTGGTTGGCTGCAAAAAGGACCCCGATGTGTTTCTCATTGAGTCCTTCTGACGACTTTACTCGTCACTGTGGAGGCTGCAGATCTTTGGAGCTGCGGTGTGCCGTCCTCAGAGACGTTGAGAAACGGTGCCCAAGAAGTTCCCTCAGAAACGTTGAGAACGAGCGTGGAAACGAAGGGAACGAGCTGGGAAATTCGGAATGGGATCAACAGGTGACGCAATGTGTAAGTTTCATGGCTGTGGATGCAGGGGGAATAGCTATGATTGGTATTGTATGTTATTATGTGTTATTATCGTTATTATTCTTATATTATTAATACTATTGTTATATATTTATGTTTTGAAACGTATAATATTGTTAGATAGCATCTACTGTTAAACGTCATATAGTATATTAAACCCATTCTACTCATAGTTTTCACAGTTTCCAGACTTGCCCAAAGGCCATGTCATGCGGCATGTAAGTTGAATCCCAATGGTTTGCCATGTGTTTGCCTACAGCATCCCACACACACAGTGTTTTTGGGCCAGCAAAATGCCCATGCCAAGGTGATCATGTATGTCCTCCTTTGTGGCTATCCTCCCTTCTTTGGGGAGTCAGACGCCGAAGTGCTCTCCAAGGCAGTGACTCAAGACTCATGGAAGATCATCGCTTTTGGACTTCGCTTCGCGCCAGATCGGTCGCCCCTATCAACACACATGTGGTAAACAGTGAGGTACCGTTGGGCACCATGGTCCTAGGGCTTTCCATGTCTTCATCGGATCCACAACCATCCCACCTCTTCCACGTGCGGAACTCCACGAGACTCCTCGCGAGGGCCCCCGGTCCCGGTCCGGAGGTCCCCTCGCGCTCACGCCCGGGCGAAAGCGCGAACGCTCCGTGGAGGTGAAGACCGGAAGCTACAGCTTCAATCCGGCAGACTGGAAGAACGTCTCGGAGGAGAGGGGACCAGGGGACCGGGGCTATTGGCCCGAGTGCTTTTTGGAGTGAGTGCTATATAGTGCGATTTGGCCCCCGGGTGTGTGGATTTGGACATGGTCATTTGTACTGATGCCAAGCGATTCGTGGCTTTCGCCGCTTTTGCCCAACGGTGGCCTTGGACAAAGACTGGAGGCTCAGGTTCCTTGCAAGACTGGTCCGCTGCTAACGTGAAACGTCAAGGTGTTTCTGTTCTGCTGAACAGTGTGGGGCCTACAGGTGCCTGTTACCCTACTCAGCCACTCTCCCAAAGAATTGGGCAGCTGGATTTTTGCTCGCTGTAGTGCAACGCAACGTGTGAGAATTGGCACGTGTTTGGTTTCAATGTTTTCCGTTTCAAACACGTGGGGTTCAGCATCGTTGGGTGTTCTTTCTTCTTGAGGCCAGTCCAGAAGCATCTTAGGGCCGAAGGCAGTGTTGAGACCCACTATAATCGATGACACAAGGCATGGCAGGAGATAAGATGAGAACAAGAGTAACCGATGCATGGAATGCAGACCGTTTACGGTGTGTGACAACCGCAGGTTCTTTAGTTCAGGGGCACGTTGTTGGGTGGTGGTTTCCTCCTGTCGCGGTTGGTCAACACGACGGGAGCCTCATCCAGGATGCCAAGAGCCTCATCCGTCAGCTGTTGAAGATGAATCCCAAAGAACGGTGTTTGTCTCAGCGAGGGGTGGACGAAGAAGAGGGTGGGGGTTGGACTGGTCTCAGCAAAGGCAGTTATCACACTGTATCACGAAAGGGCTTCAGTTTGCCTGAAAGTTGCAAGGATTGCAATTAGAATTAGAACTTGTATGAACTTGTACTGCAACTGCGCATATACCCTTGCACTGCCCAGTCAGACAAAAAGCCATATAACCATGTTTTAGGTCACACATTCTTCCAGAGGCTTTGTCGTAAGACACTCTCCCGCCTTAGTATAGCTGGATCCACGGCGTTTGAGATCGTCTGTATAAATGTTTCTGCATGATAATTTCACACAAGATTCGTCACGACTTCAAAGGGTCCTAATGTTGATTGATTTGCTTGTTGATTTTCTTGGCCCGGAAAAATAAAAGCGTTTACAATATGCTGTGCGGTTCATGCGTGTTACCTTCAGTTGCAGCACGTATTTTAAAAGCAAACCTAGGGGTTGAGCACTTTTGGGACTCTCGTGGCGTTGTTTGATCAGCGTTGTTTGATCAAATGCATGCTTCATAGGGTTTTGAAGGGTTGTAAGCCTCCTTTTTAGATGCTGAAGACGACTGAAGTCATCTTGAGCAAAACGTGCAAACCGGCAACATGCGCACAAATTGCCGCAAAATGCGCGCAAATTGCCGCAAAATGGGTGCAGTTTGAAAAGTGACAAACCACTTCAACATGGGTTGGATATGGGAGGCTCCATGGGCGTTTGTTGAGTGACTGTAGCGCTTGTTGAATGAATGAGCACCTTTTGAAACGAGTTTTTTTGTAGCGAAGGAAGCTTCGCTGTGTTCCATGTCGGATCCGGAAGATGCTTGGCCCAGGTACAGCGCAGAGGCAGCTTTGAACCATGAGTGGTTTGGCTCTCAGCGCTCCCACAGTTCAAGGATCTCCATGGATCAGCTAGGACTCTAGTGAAACAGCCTGCTTGAGTCACCTGAAAGCTCAAGAAAGAGTGCAGTAAATAATTGGCTGCTAAGCTTCAAGAGAGATTTGTTTGTAACGAAGTCCAATTGCATGAACAGGAGCAAAAAGATGCACAGCATGCCAATCCGGACGGATTCATCACTTAAACATAGAGTCGCTCGAGGATATTTTGGGAGGACCGGTTTATCCAGTTGGGTCACTGGGTAAACACCAAGGATCAAGCTGAAAGCACCAAAGGCGACCAATGTCTCGTTGCAATCGAACTTCGTGGACAACCTTCGCCACTTCCGATCGCAGAACAAGCTGAAGAAGGCGCGAACGTGGGTTTTTTTCTCCTCCAGACAGGTACGAACGTGGTGTCTCAGTCTAGACTGATGGACAGATGTATGGATCAGACGGATCCAACGAAGGACCTAGGCCCTAGGCTTTGGCGTCGTGTGCACATGCAATTAGTGACTAGTGTATGTGTTTATGGCATATGACATAATAAGTAATATCTATATTTATTTAGTTGTGTTTATTTATACACACCTTTGGATGTGCCAAGCCAGGGCCTATAAGGGGATTTATCTCTTTATGTGTTTTTTCGTTGTTCTTCGAAGAGTCAGACTTTTTCAGGGTTGGCAAGTTCTCACCTGGCCAGTAAAGGCCCCGAGTTCAGAGCGTGGAGCTCATCAAAGGTTCAGTTTTAGTCTGATAAAACATCACAGATTCTGTTTTATCATCAGAGGTGTCTCAACATCGGAGGTTCTTTGGGATCTTGGTACTGTATGTTTTTCGTGTTTGTGATCCTTCTTCCAGAAGACGTGGACGGGAAACCGGTTTCGCTGCACCGGGCTCCACTGCCTTCAGGCAGCGCTCCATATCATTGCTGGACAGCTGAACGAGGACCAAAAAGACGCGAACAGGTCAAACAAGGAGGAAGAGGAGAGAAAAGTCAATCACCAGCCTTTGATGCAAATTCGCACTTTGATTGTCTTGATTTTACAAGCACATTCAACTTCTACGTGAGTTCTTGGAAATTCTTCCCGTTTGGGGCGCTCTTTTGCTTTGCATTCCTCAGCTGGGCCAGCCTATTGATGGTCAGTTGTGATTGGCTGGGCACATGCCAAAGCTTGGTTCTCATGTAAACTTGTGAAGTCTACTTGTGAAGTCTTCTCTTTTCAGATACTTTTCGACGCCCGATAAAGCGGACCGTTTCCTGCTACTGAGGCTACATCCCTGGTTTCTTCACCCCACCTGACTGATTTAGGATCTGGGCGAGAAAACCTGCGATGACACCGATGATCAAGTGTGAAGAAGTCGAAGGGAGCTGAACTTGTTGGGGGTTCCAAAATGGTTCCCTTTCAAAGAGCATGCCGCAGCATGCCCTAAAACGACATGCGCCAGGACCAGATCAAGCAGCTGCGAGACGTCTTTATGATGATTGATGGCAACGGAGATGGTGCGCAAAGCCGCACTTGTCCATGTTGAACGTTAAATTCTAAAGGGAGAGCCATGCAGTGTTTGCATTTCTTTGGCAGATGTTTATAGAACGTGTTGGAAGAGTTGTTTGAAATGATCCCATGTGTACTGAGCTGCATAGTCTTACCGTTTGTCACAGACGAACCCGAAGGCTTTCTCACGGTCAATGAACTGAAGGAAGGCCTTGCCAAGTGGCACGCTTAGGGGCCTGAAACAGGAAGCGTGTCATAGGGAATCAGCATGAGTCAGCCCATTTTGGATCCCGACAGTGTGATTTCAACGCATTTCTATGCCAGTGCCTACCTTGATAAGGACAATCATTTCTTTTGGGTGCCAGCTACACCGGCTAGAGTGGCGAAATCGCAAGCCTATGTTGACTCGAACAACCTTGGGAGGATCACCACTTAAGCCTTAAGTCTTCAATGTGAGCCACACGGTAATCTCCAGCAGCTAACTTGCATCAGAAAACATAAGCAACCCTCAGACAACTGAGTTGTTCGGTTGTTGTTATTAGTTTGTGTTGTCTCTTTTTGTTGTTCTCACTCATCACACCTTTTTACACTGAGGGCCGGTCTCAAAGACATTCCCCCTGACCTGTTGCAGATCATGCAGGACCTCCGTGCCTTGTTGTGTTTCATGAGTCATTTCATGAGTACTGAGTGTTTTTGTTGGCCAATCTTCTTTAGTTTCAAAAGATATATTATTTTTGACTGAGATCCTCCAGAGAGTTTCAGGTTGGTGTTTAGTCTTTCACTTTGGGGGGTTTAGTCGGGTCGCAAGGGTTAAATTGACACACACACTCTGACAATTGTATTCAGTTAACTCAGTTCCCCAAGGAAAGGAATGACTCAACGGCAAGGTGATGAGTCCGATCAATTGAAGGTGTTTCAACAAATAGTTTGTGCACATCTGCAGACTCGCGACAGCAGCGGACGAGCGGCGGACGGCAGCTGAAAGGTGGCTGTGGGAAACCTGTTTGTGGGGAGTAGCTTGAAGGACCATGGAAGCAAACCAAGCAAATTAGACAACGTGGTCAAAAGTTCAGCAGGTACACATCAGGACGTCTCCCGATGCATCACCAGAGAATGTGGACGTCTTCGTTGGCAGTGATTCCACAAACTCTGTCACTGCCCCCTGCATGCGAAAGGTGGTGGAAAATCTGTGAAAGAAGTGGCGGTGGAAAACCCTTTGTCCAGGGGTGGACACACACAGATCGCCGTCGTCGGCGCTTTTTCAAAAAA